AGTGGAAAGGGTTGGCACCCCTCCCTTCCTGCACCCCTATTCTTCAGCAATCCCCAATTTCATTGCATATGCTTCTTCGAAAGAGACCTATAGTTATCTCAAGGGCGCATTGACAATTGAATTGGGGGACTGGGAGAAAAAGTTAAAGTTAGTGGTAAGGGGTACAAATGGAAGACTTTCCACTTCTTGAATGAACCAGTCAGTGCTCAGTATATGATGTGAATAAAATTATTCCACATATAACAATGAGTGCAGTGTAACAATCAGTATGTTCCATGAACCTAATTTTCTGTGCTTTTTTTCAGGATCCAGATAAGAAAGGCACAAAACCCAAAATGGTCACATACGAGGTTGACTTGAATAAGTAAGATCATGTTAACAAATTCTTTTGCACATAATTTGCATTCTGCAAAACTGTCGTGTATCATGAAATTGTGAGATGTGATAATGGTGAAACAAAGTATTTGATGCATTGATAGTTGTTTAAAAAACGTATTAACTCTGTCAATTACAGAGGTGTTTCTATGATAAAAATAAGTAATATTTTGATAATTCATTATACAACAAATGCGATTTTTTGGTTTATATGTGCTTCTATTGGAGATGCGCTTCTAATAGAGCAAATACAGTAGCTGGTTTTGATGACAAGTTAGGTTTGCCTGAGTATAGCAATTGTATAATATTACGCTTGACTTTTACAGTAGTAGCTCATGGACACCTGAGTATTCTAATAATACAACTTTTCAATTTGACTTGCGTTCACATTTTTACAGGTGTGGCCCAATGGTTCTTGATGCGTTGATTAAAATCAAGAATGAGGATGATCCCACGCTGACTTTCCGCCGTTCTTGTCGTGAAGGTATATGCGGTTCTTGTGCTATGAATATTGCTGGTGTTAATACCCTAGCTTGCATTTGGTGAGTATTTTCATCGTTTTCCCCATACATGGAAGAAATAAAATTTCTAATGAACACAAAATAACATCCATGAGTACTGATTAATTGGTTATAAATGCATGATTTAGGTTGAAATACATAGTAAGTCTTAGAATCCTTGGTTGTATGACAACAGTGGCTGCTTCACTGCATGCATTTTCCCACAGAGATGTCTCTTTGAATTTCTACCCTATTTTCAGAGGTATGTTATCTCAATCATACATGTTAATTTTTTTTTTTTCAGTAAAATTGATGCAAGGGTCAACAAGACAACCAAAATATACCCTTTACCCCATATGTATATTATTAAAGACCTTGTACCAGTGAGTATAATACAAGGTTTTTACTGTGTCAAAACAATAGTTTTCTATTGTGCATTGTATCAGTCATTTAACTAGGTATCTTTAAGTTGTAATGTAATGTCTGCAAAACATAGTTGAAATTAAATTTTGAGATACTTGGCCAAAAATCAAATCTTAAAGTTGCGGGGCTCACGAATTACACTCATCGAAAGCTGGTGCATGCATTGTTTCTCAACCGAGTTATTTATTGTATTCACTACAATCAATCCTGTTATGCATTGTTTTGCTAAGCACAACTAACCTTATATGTAATATTAGATGTTCAAAGTTTGTTCGAATACAATTTTCAGTTTTCTTTGGGGGATGCTGTGAATAGCTTTATTTTTCAGTGAAGGTTTTTATCACAAGACTATAATACTGTCATTTTAGGACATGAGTAACTTCTATGCTCAGTACAAAGAAATTGAACCTTATCTTAAAAAGAAGGAAACAGTCAACTATGGAGATAAACAGTATTTCCAGAGTGTAGAAGACAGAGCTAAGCTGGTAGGTTATCATTTATTAATTACTCATTTGCAGTATCCTAATTGATTCTCTTGTAGCTGCAGGGACCTGTAAAACATGTCTTTTGCGCGAGCATGTCTTTTTAGCGAGAGAACTGATGAGCTAATTCAAGATGTCGCAAATGACTTTATTGTAAATTCAAACTGGCCAAGGCTTGGAGATTTGTATACAGTAATCCGGAACATAAAACATCTGGTGTGCTTCCTAATTACACTTGACAGTTTTTTTATGAAGGTGATAACTGCGCATTTGTTTTGGCACTCGACAGATAAGTATTGTGAAAACAGGAAATCAGCAATGACAAGAGAGATTCGCTAAATCAACATTTCGCTATTACGTCATTTTACCACAATTCGCTAAAATTGCATGTCGTTTTTTTTCAACACGTTTCACAGTAATCACGCCTCCACCCTACTAGGGGTATGTGATAACATCTAGGTGGCAAATCAATTAGGTCATAGTTTGGCGACTCATTGCATTGCCACTGACTTCAAGTAAACTCAATCTAGGATGTAAAGCGTCCCAGACTATATGCATGGTTGACAACCCAACCTGGGATCGAGAGGGTTAAAACAAATTCACTGCTTTCATTTCTCCTGGATCGTAACTAGGCATGTGTTCAAACTAACTTTGGAGTTCAAGCTAATGTACAAGATAGAATTTAATACATCAAACAAACCTGTCAATAAACAAGCTGCTCTCTGATTGGTCCAACTGTCAGATGTTAGGGTTTGGTAGCCAATCAGGTGTAATCTTGTAAAAGCTTCACATTGACTGTAACTTTGCCTTGTAGGACGGTCTGTATGAGTGCATATTGTGTGCATGTTGTACTACATCATGCCCCAGTTATTGGTGGAATGGAGATAAGTATCTGGGACCAGCAGTATTGATGCAAGCATACAGGTGGATGATTGACAGTCGTGATGATTTCCAAGTAGAGAGAATGGCCAAGTTGCAGGATCCATTCTCCATCTATAGATGTCATACTATTATGAACTGTACAAAGACATGTCCAAAGGTAATGTTTTCACAGTATATTCTCAGGGGCAAACATCAAGGCATGTTCATTGCCTGGCAACCATCACAGCATGTTCATTGCCTGGCAACCATCACAGTGAAAACAAAGGCCAAAAACTTGAACGTTGGGATAGTTGCTGAGACTCTCCTGAACAGTGTAACAAGATTACCTTTACATGTGCAACATGTAGCAAAACAAACACATGTGAATGAGTATCCAGCATGAACAAACTATAATTTATTAGCCATCTTCTAAATATGTTCAACTAATTTACTGTTCAGTTGTTGTTGGCGGTTTGCGATTGGCCGCTATTTTGGGTTTATACAAATGTAAATCTATTTGTGGGTGATATTATAAGTAGTTAGAATAAAAGTCAGTGTTGCTAACTGTGATGACACGCAACAAACATTTTTGGGTGCTGATGCAGGGAAATATTTGTTGCATATAATCGTATGCTTATCTGCTTATATCTTGCATTTTCATTGAATGTTTCGTTTGTTTGTTCCTTCTACACCCGTTTTAAGTTGAGCATTTCTTTTGCGTTGAAATGTGTGTAGATCAACTTGCTAATAAGAAGACTACTTACTGTAAAGGAAATGTTACAACTCTGTTGTCTTGGTTGTGTACTGATCTATCAGTGCTTATCTGACACATCTGTGAATCAGAACAAAGAAACGTGCATGATACTGTTCCCATCTTTTATTGACGAGACACCAAACACTTCTCACAGTGTGTAATAATATTAAACTAACTGCTCATCCTTTTTATGCAATGCTGAACCGGCATATCATACATACCATGATTACATACATGCACAGCATGGGGGTTGATATTCATGGTTTATGTCCAGTACTTTAGTGAACCTTGAGTTTAAAGTGGTTGTTTTGCAGGGTCCTGTACATAAACAATTAGAGCATTTTAGAGTGTCTTTTTGTTCTTAAAGGGCGGTGGTCGTCACGCCGTGTCCTGTTCGATATGGGACTCGTAGTGACGTATACAACGCATGAACATGGAATTTGAATGCATGCTGAATGACAACTGCTGTCCTATATAAACGTATTATTTGTAAAACCAGTGCTCAAAGTAAAACAATAGCTCACTTTCACGACCTCTAAAAGATCACTTATTCCTGGTGCTTTCGTTGGTATCAAAATTGAATTTATATTTACTTTAAGAACAAAAAGACACCTTAAAATACCCTAATTATTTGTGGTTCTGTTATATCTACTAAATTACCAGATTGTGTGACCTTTAAGGGTAACAAACATGTCCTATTATTGATGCATGTCTGAATGATCTTAAACTTTCGTTTGACGTTGCAGAGCCTTAATCCTGGTCGTGCTATTGCCGAAGTCAAGAAACTGATGGCTGCATTCAAGGGAAAAGCGAAGGCAGCTTCTTTATAGAAATACAAGTACAAAAGTGTGTGTTGTACACAAGACCAAACTTGTTGGAGTAGTGGTTGATGACTTAGAATGTAATTTATACTGTGCTATATTGAATTATACTGTACTTTCACTGGCCATTTTCTTAGTTACAGCACTTAGCAAACTGCATGCAAATAAAATTATTTTGTTACTTTAGGAGTGTCACATTTTATTTTAATTTAGGCTTCATTTCACCTTCTATTTCACTGAAATTGAACACCTTCATATCAGGGTGTGGGAGATCTCCTCAATATACTGATATGAACAAATATGAATATTTGATTTGAATGAAAGGGGTGGATGGGTCTAAAAATGAGGGGGACAATCAATGATAATAAACTACTGGATAGATTTCATCAAACATTTGTATATTTTCATGCTGTGTGTATTTATCATGATTAACATTGTACTTGTAGATTATTACAAATCTGTTAAGTTATCTCGCAGGGATTGTGTTACGCCTGAATTGTATCTTTATTATTAAAGACTGACAACCAGGGCTGCCATAAACAAGTTCCTTGTTCCAGGCTACACAAATGCTAACGTAATCTCTGTTGTGTTACTGTAATTCAGTGTCGAATCAATAAAGTATGGACAGTTTGCCTAGTGTGTACGATTAGTGTGCATGTGTTCGAGAAAACCTGCATTTAAGTCTTTCAATAAAAGTAACTTTTAATTTGCAATAAAGAAAATTTGCAGTCTGGAAACTCATGTAGGCGAGAAGTAAACATTGTACGCGCATTTAAAAAAAAGGCGTAAACCGCAACAATGTGGAAATAATAAAACAGAAATTAGAATAAATAAATGTATGAATAGAAATGCGATATTACCTATCTATGGTTCCTACAGTTAGATAGCTTGCAGACAAAAATCTGAAAAGTCTTCAAAATACTAGTCCTCTCAGTAAAATTAATGGAAAGTCCAACAATATAACTATTAATCTAAAACTGTTATAAATTGAACCAAAACTTTTTCAAATTGTGGCATAGAGAATAAAATATAAGAATGAATGAATAGAAATCAGATGTACAATTGTCTATCACTACAGTTAGACAGCTGCAGCCAAAAACAGTAAAAAAAATCTTCAAAACAATCATTCCAGTAAAATTAATGCAAATTCCAACAATGCAACAATAAATTTAAAGAAAAAACTAATGCTTTGCTTGAAAACAGGAGGGGTGAACAGCTGATTTTAACAAAGGGCTCTATGGAAAGGACTAGTCCCTACCTAAACGCCCTCTACAGTTCAATTTTCTATCCCACAATTCTTTGCAAAATCCCTAGAGAAATGGAGTTGCGCAACACGCAAGATGTGATAACGGAACGGAGAAACCACAAATTGAGCTGCAGAAAATCCTCTTCAGACCCATCAAATTTCAACTAATGTTAGCATACCACTTGTATGTCAAAGTTGGGGGGAGTCGTCACCTGCACATGGGGCAGACTGGCATAGTGTCTCAAAACAACCAAGAGTTAATCTAATTTATCTAGACATGCGTCACAATGTTGGTCTGAAAACAACCTAAAGATAATCGAATTCATCTTGGCATACGCCCGGCCCCCCCACTCAGGATCCATAGGGGGCCGCATGCGCGTTCCCATTTTCTCGGGAAAGAGGGTACTTTTTGACGATCTGTCTCGGGAACATTTTCCCGAGATTCTCAAAATAGGGGGTGTATTTCAAAACACTTCCCGAGATATCCAAAAAAAGGGGGGTTTAAAAGGAGTTCTAGACTGAAAAGTTCCCTAGATAGGGGGTGAAATTCATCGGAAAAGCCCGTGAAAGGGGGGGTTAAATTTTCTTCTTTTCCCTAGATAGGGGGGGTCAAAAAAAATGAGGGAACAAGCATAGGCCCCCCCTAAATATAGGGAGTGGGGGGGCCGGGGGCATACGTCAAAATGATATTGACCAATCGTCACGCTTGTTGCATAATAAAAGCGGTGAAGAACAATTCGAGATAGTGTAGGAGAAGAGACACTGAACGAACAACAGCCCTTACGTGAGTCTTCCGACTGCCCCACAACTCTAATTTGATATACCCAGGAAATGTTCCATTAGGCAGACCGATTAGGCATTTGATTATTCACTAAATTCGCATGGTGTTTGTGAGTCGGTATCAAAATCACATATGCGGTCCTCAAGCTGAAAGCGAGTATTAATTCCTCAATATTACTAGTACTTCCCCGATACCAAACGTTCCAATAAACCCCACTTTTTTCCTTACCACGAACGACTAACGAGGAAGAACAGTGAAGACCTGCGTTTTCCGAATTAGAAACTGTCACAATAGTGTCATGAATTTGTTTTTGCGTATCTGTTGACCGACTTAATTAGCTGATTATTAGCGAATTGCTGTGTTATGTCTGTCATCGTTTAGGCTAGCTGTGGAATCATAGCCCCCTGAGGGCCGTTTTTGGTCGTACAATATACAAAATTTGAAAAGAAGACGTCCTAGTAATAAAGAAAAAAGTAAAAGTTGTCAGTCGCAAGATGGAGCTACGGATCCGCAGCTACGTTTAGGCCTATTTGAAGTTTTGGACGGAACTTGGCTCAGTGATTTGGAACTAATTACGAGATAACCGTCGCTATTC